TAAATATTTTTATAATCACAAATTCTTATTATAATGTTTTGTTTCGCTAAAAGCAAGTGGGATTTATAATATATAAATATATATAAATCCTATTCGTCTTGGACTTTATGGAGTGATCTGAAAGTATACGGTGAATGCTACTAGAACTCCTCGACGAATTGAACTAGGTGTGCCGAGTTTGGGCTCATTATGTTAGTTATGACGAGACCTTACCTCCGGACTTGAAGGAATGACCTGAAGGTGTACTTCGGTAACTACTAGTGGAACTCCTTGACGAGTAGAACTAGGTATGCCAAGTTTGGGCTCGTTTTGTTAGTTACGACGAGACCTTACCTCCGGACTTGACAGAATGACCTGATGGTGTACGTTGGTGACTACTACTGCAACTCCTGGACGAGTAGAACTAGGTGTGCCGTGTTTGGGCTCGTTTTGTTAGTTATGACGAGATCTTACCTCCGGACTTGATGTAGAGACCTGATGGTGTACTTCAGTGACTACTACTGGGACACATGGACGAGTAGAACTAGGTGTGCCGAGTTTGGGCTAGTTTTGTTAGTTATGACGAGATCTTACCTCCGCACTTGATGGAGAGCCCTGATGGTGTACTTCAGTGACTAACTTCTGGAACTCATGGACGAGTAGAACTAGGTGTGCCGAGTTTGGGCTTGTTTAGTTAGTTATGATGGGACCTTACCTCCGGAATTGATGGAGAGACCTGATGGTGTACTTCAGTTACTACTACTGGAACTCCTGGACGAGTAGAACTAGATGTGCCGAGTTTGGGCTGGTTTTGTTAGTTATGACGATACCTTACCTCCGAACTTGATGAGAGACCTGATGGTGTACTTCGTAACTCCTGAAAGAGTAGACCTGGGTGTGCCGAGTTTAGGCACGTCGGGGAAAATATAAATGGTATTACCAAATTCAAGGGTAACTGCGCATCATAACTAACAAACTCGCCACACCTAGTTCTACTCGTCCAGGAGTTGCAGTAGTAGTCACCAACGTACACCATCAGGTGATTCTATCAAGTCCGGAGGTAAGGTCTCGTTGTAACTAACAAAACGAGCCCAAACTTGGCATACCTAGTTCTACTCGTCTAGGAGTTCCAGTAGTAGTCACTAAATTACACCATCAGGTCTCTCCATTAAGTCCGGAGGTAAGGTTACGTCATAACTAACATAATGAGCCCTAACTCTGCACACCTACTTCTACTCGTCCAGGAGTTGCAGTAGTGGTCACCAGCGTACACCATCAGGTCATTCTGTCAAGTCCGGAGGTAAGGTCTCGTCGTAACTAACAAAACGAGCCCAAACTACGCATACCTAGTTTTACTCGTCCAGGAGTTGCAGTAGTAGTCACCAACGTACACCATCAGGTCATTCTGTCAAGTCCGGAGGTAAGGTTTCATCGTAACTAACAAAACGAGCCCAAACTTGGCATACCTAGTTCTACTCGTCTAGGAGTTCCAGTAGTAGTCACTGAAGTACACCATCAGGTCTCTCTATCAAGTCCGGAGGTAAGGTCTCGTTATAACTAACGAAACGAGCCCAAACACGGCACACCTAGTTCTACTCGTCCAGGAGTTTCAGTAGCAGTCACTGAAGTACACCATCAGGTCTCTCCATTAAGTCCGGAGGTAAGATCTCGTCATAACTAACAAAACTAGCCCAAACTCGACACACCTAGTTCTACTCGTCCAGGAGTTGCAGTAGTAGTCACCAACGTACACCATCAAGTCATTCTGTCAAGTCCGGAGGTAAAGTCTCATCGTAACTAACAAAACGAGCCCAAACTTGGCATACCTAGTTCTACTCGTCCAGGAGTTCCACTAGCAGTTACCGAAGTACACCTTCAGGGCATTCCTTCAAGTCCGGAGGTAAGGTCTCATCGTAACTAACATGGCACTACTCGTCCCGGACTTCCAGTAGCAGTCACCCAAGTATACCTTCAAGTCACTTCACCAAGTTCGGAGCTGAAGTTATCATAACTAACAAAACCAGCTCAAAGTCTACAGCCAACATCTCACTCCCTGTAGATGGCTTCTAGTACCTAGCTGTCTCTGGAGCAGCCATTTATATTTCGTATCTAAGTATATTTTTGTAGGTAATAAGAAATATGAAAAAAAAAACAATCTTTCAAATTATCAAAATGTTTATACTTGATTGCGATTCCCGCAGCTAACCGTGCGTACACTTGTGTGTGTGACCAGTGTCAATGTAATAGTTCGATTCTATACCTATCAATTTTGTAAACGCGTCCTTAAACGTAGTGATTATCACAGAACACTAATACCCTTAGGCGGGGTGATTATATTCTCTTTGCAGCGCCCATTTGAACTTTTATTATTTGATTGACTGATGAAGTGAAGAAGAGCTATCGTATCACAAAGCTATCCAAGAGCCATCTATGCAAACAAGGCTGTAGTTTTTGAGTTAGAAGAAAGTGACCATATTAACCGGATTATATATCGGATGTTACCTTCACGTACTATAGATGTTGTTTTTTGTTACTATAGTACTATGTTTGTCATCGGCCACAGGTTAGGATAAGCGATAGGGTTGTTTAAGTAATTTTTAGTGTTTTGTTTATTATCTATACAAATAAATAAAATTGAAGTGTCTGTTTGTAAAGTCAAAATTACAGCTTTTTACTAAATACATATGAAAGTATATACGGTACTAATAACAAAAATACAATTTTTAAAATTTTTGTCTGTCTGTCTGTCTGTCCGTCTGTCTGTCTGTTTGTTCCGGCTAATCTCCGAAACGGCTGGACCGATTTTGACGGGATTTTCACTGGCAGATAACTGATGTCATAAGGAGTAACTTAGGCTACTTTTATTTTAGAAAAAAGAAAAGAATTAGGGTTCCGCGCAAAAAAAAATTAAATTACCCCAGAACACGCGGGCGAAGTCGCGGGGAACAGCTAGTTTGGGAAATAAAAAGTGAGAAGAATATTATTTGAAAAAATAATTATAATTTATTCGCATAATAATAATAATTGCCGTCAAGATAACATTAAATTACAAAAAAAAACACAGTAACTTATTTGTTCAAATATTGTACAAATTAAAATAAAAGCTGGTAACTTATCTGACATAATTATATAAAAATTAAAGAATCAAGAACGTCTACGTCTGTGTAAGAATTTTTCTAACTTTGTAATATAATAACCAAAGACATTTAAATAGTTAAACCTTTTTGATTACAACATTTAAAAAATATTTTCAAGTTTTTATGGAATTGTAATACATTTGTGCCAGAACCATATAATTTGTGCAGAGCCGATGGTTTCAAAAATAATATATTATGAATTATCTTCTGCAATTTAAGTAATCTATACAAATAAATAAAATGGAAGTGTCTGTTTGTAATGTCAAAATTACAGTTTTTTACTAAATACATATGAAAGTAAATACGGTACTTATAACTAAAATAGAATTTTTAAAATTTTTGTCTGTGTGTCTGCCTGTTTGTTCCGCCTAATCTCCGAAACGGCTGGACCGATTTTGACGAGATTTTCACTGGCAGATAGCTGATTTCATAAGAAGTAACTTAGGCTACTTTTATTTTAGAAAAAGAGTTAGGGTTCCGCGCAAAAACATAAAAACCCTAACACGCTAGCTAAGTCGCGGGGAACAGCTAGCATAAAATATATCATATAAAATCACAATATTTTCGAATACAAATGATATGATATTGAGTACTTGAGTTACTTCGCATAATAAAATAAAATAATACGACTTATTTAATTGAACAAATAAGTGTATAAATAAATTTTTTAAAGTTAGTAAAGAGAATAATAATAATACAACATTTTATTTCTAAATTTAAAAAATATTTGGTTTTGTAGATAGTTATATTTTCGTATGTGATGACAGGCTGTGATTCAATCACTGGCAATGATCATTCCATCTTAACCTTCAGAGGCGATAACGTATTCACATTTTTCTACACTTTGGTGGTTCATAAATTACATACGTTTATTCGACTCAAAAAAGACATTGAGATGTACAACCTGCGAGCAGAAGGTTTGCGAATGTCTCCCTCCCATTTGAGTCGATGGCGGTTGGGGTTTAGCTAGCCAACCTCTCACGGTGAACTAAGACGAAACCTAATGGCTGGCTCCAAGGTGAAGAGCTGCCGCTGGGTGGGCCCTCACGGAAGGCTGGTGCTTACAGGCACACGTTTTTCCGCATCACGGATTTGGGAGGCATAATCTCCGTTGCGTAGGGGAAAGCGTCTTGTATTCTTTTCTAAGAAGGGCGCCTATGGGGCGGCTAGCACTGTGGAGGCCACGGATGTGTGCGAAAGAGTTCCCGTGGCCTTGCAAATGTACAACGAAAGTAGAAACACATGGGGTTTTAGTCGCAGCGAGTACGACATAGCCCACTCTTGCCCACGCGGGGCGGATTATCTCCATGAAAAAAAAATATAGAAAGTTGGAAAGGCAGTGTAGGTCTGGTGTTGAGTCCGTGGAAAGTCGTTGCTCACAATATATCGACACAACTCCGGGTCAGCTGCCAGCATGGTGCTTACTAGGCGGTCGTCCCGGTGGTGGTCGACTATGTGATCGTAATAAATGATCAACAGTTCAACATCGCAGCTACAACTTGTCTCAGTCTGTCAAATCATCAGCAATATATTTCTTGGAAGATATGTTCCGTCATATTTACTATTATCATCAACATAAACTATTAATGGGATGGGATATAATCTTGGGAGATGTATTTATTCTTAGCAAAACATAATATAATAAAAATTACTTACATACTAGTACAGACACTAATTAGTTTTGCCGCAGTTTTAAATAAACATGTTACAAAATTAAATTATACATCAAGTCGTAATTAAAAGACATTTAATACATAAATAGACAGTTTCATTTCAGTCGTATGCTCGTTAGAGTATGCTAGATATTCATTTAGATTTTTGTACTGCAAAAACCGATGTACAGTTAATATTACATACGCTCTTTAACAATTCATTAAAATAATTTTAACGTTTGTACGGAGCTTTGGAGTATCTTCCTCGTTCTTCTTCGTCACGAACATCCAAATAATGGCTGAACACAACTGCCCATAAGTAGAGGTATAGACCTGTAATAACGAGATATATTAGTTATATTAATAATAGCGAAAAGCAGTTATCTATACAAATAAATAAAATTGAGGCGTCTGTTTGTAATGTCAAAATAATAGCTTTTTACTAAATGCATATGAAAGTATTTACGGTACTTATTACCAAAAAAAAAACATTTTTTGTTTTAGAAAAGGAATTAGAGTTCCACGCAAAAAAATTAAAACCCATGAAATCCAGTCGCAACAAATTCCACGCGGGCGATGTCGCGGGGAACAACATAGTTAAATAATAATAACGCAGAAAATAATTTACTAAATAGGTAAGTATTGTAATACTATGAGTGTGTAGTTAGAAACGTTCTAACACAAATGAAGACGTGGTAAGACTATTTGATAACATTGCTGAACCTGAACCACTGCGGGCCTCTTATGTATCAGGACAAAGTTGTCTTAATCGTCGCGTTTGGCATTATCAGACTTCCCGCACCTTGGACCCTGTTGCCCTTCGCCGCTAACGAAATGCTTACACGGCCATCAATCATCAGAGATCTTCAAACGTAACATTTTACGGCACCCATTACTTGCCCAGTATTACGCCGCTACCATACTACAAATCCAAAAATACAACGCAGAATGCCCACATCTAGCAGTGGGTTTTTGTGGGCCGATGAAGGAGAAGAGGAAAAACAGTATCGATTACATTATGTGATATAAAATTTTGTAATGTTATTAAAAAGTATCTGCCGGTGTCACCGGCAGAAGCACTTACAAGACCTTTAAGATGTTGAGGCGTAATTCCGTCAATACAGCCAGCAGAGCCATTCGAAAATGACATAATTGCTTAAAGGAGTAATTTAAAATATTTATATAGTCGTTTTTCTTAATGAGAATAAAATCAGATTGATTAACCGAATTTTAAACAGTTATATTAGAAGGTAGTATAGTTGTAGCACGAATGGGTCGGCTCGATCGGGTAAGGACCACGCTCTCACAGAATACCAGCTTAAAATAGCAGCTCAATGCTGCTGTGTTTCGTATGGTGAGTGTAGAGAACTGGAGACCCTTTTTACTGGAAAAGAGGCATTCCATCTTAGTCCTCACGGGTGACAACGCATCTGCATTTTGATTCGTAATCGAGGATAGATGCAGATTTCTATGGGCCACAGCAACCATTTACCATCAGGTGGACTGTGTGCTCGTTTGTCACCCTTATCATATAAAAAAAGACTATAAGTACATGATAGAGTCATGGTGCAGCGAATTATGACAAAAGGGTCGGCTCGACCGGGACAAAACCACGCTTGGCCAGAACAACAGCATAAAATAACAATGTAATCGTACTATGTTTCGAATCGGACACCATTTCAACAAGTGACGAGGCATTTCATCTTAGTCCTCAGGGGTGATTTGTATTATAATTCTTAACGCAATTTTGACGCTGCTCCTAGCCGGTCGTCGTCGGTCTCGATATTTTATGTCTGCGATAAGCGACTAGATGCATAAGCGAAGTAGTTATAACGTAAGTTACAAGCTGCAGCAACGACACCTACTGAATGAAACGGGCTATATATTATCTTTTGCGGCTACCACAAAGCAAAACACAAAGGCTTATTGGTATTATCACAAGTATTACGTAGCTTATTGTGATAAGTGATAATCGAAACTGATAAAATTCCATTAGAAACTGAAAGCATAATTATAAATATAATATGTAATAATAAAATACTATTCTTATGTAGAAAGAATGAAAGAGGTAAGAGTGATAAAGCAACGCCATATGGCAGAAATGAACTGCATAGGAAAGGGACGCTCTAAACGAAGGTGTATCGACCAAATTGGTGATATATTAATGATGAGGGCTAGATTAAAGGTATTCTTCACGAGCATGTATGGGTAGGTATATGGATGTAAAGGCGGTGAGGAAGGTGTGTCAGGATCGTGCCAAATGGAAGTCCGCAGTCTCTGCTTACCCCTGTGGGTGACAGGCGTGAGTGTTTATGTATATATGTATGTTTGTGTATATAAATACTACTTACACAAATATAGTAGTCCACCGATCAGTATGATGGTAGCGAGGATGACGTGATCCTGCCCGTCGAGGTAGTACGTGATGGCGGTGTGTATTACACTGATAAGAAGTCCAATCGCCAGTACTATGCCTAGCACAACCCACGGCAGCATGAGCCATGAGCGTCTCTGTAATATGTAAATATTGTTTTACATAATGAAATCGTTAACCGTTACAGCCTATTAGGCTTCCCCGATAGTTTGCCTCGCTTGGCAACTGGTTTCACAACCGCAGTATTTTACTTTTAGTTTTTATTAAGATGACGCTACTGTCCATCTCCTGATTTGTTCCTGTCTGTCGCCTCTTACGACACCCACGGGATGATATGGGGTAGTGGATATTCTTACACCGACACGACACTGTGAACTATCCGATTGCGTTAACAAAAGAATGATGTGAAATATACCTATTAAAGTTACTATGAATGGGATCTCATATTCTACGTACGTCATCATTACTATAAAGTAGGAAAACCACGCTGCAGGGTATTATAACTGTAGCACTATTGGGTTGATTCAGCCGGGAAATGACCATGCTTACATAGTAACCGTCGTGAAATACCAGCACATTGTTATTGTGTTTCATGTGGCGAGTGACAAGAACCGAAAATAATTTCAGGCCTTCTTTCTCAAGTAAGTGCATAGGCAAGTAACCGCGTGAAGTAAGTATTTAAGTGCTTAGTCATACAAAAAAAAAAGTGCACAAAAATCAGCATCGCGACACCCTGCGTTAAACTTTTTGAACAAGTTACGAGGCTCCTTTAGAACTGTGAGCACACAGTTTGTCATACTTATTGCGTGTTGTTGTGCTCTATAATAGTACCTAAATGTTTTTCATCTATAAAGAGCATATTTCTGTGTCTTCATCCAGCGTATTAGAACAACAAGCATTTTGATCAATCGACTTTTGTATATACTGCGGGAGTTTATTAATTTGCGACCAGGTCCTGGCGTTGTATTGTATAATTTTAATCGAATGTTTACTTTCCTACATGATATTACATGTTCCTTTGATGCTGCCTGTAATTATCTATTCAATCTTTTTTTTACTTATTATAAGCCTATTTACTCTTGTCTATCTTATCGGAGTTTTATTTTCAACCGACTTCAAAAAAGTAGGAGGTTCTCAATTCGACTGTATTTTTTATGTGTGCTACTTTAGAACTTTTTTCTACGTGAACTGATTTTGATGATTTTTTTTTATTTGAAAGCTGGTGCTTTTCAGGTAGTCCCATATAAATTTGATCACGATTTGATCAGTCGTTTTTGAGTTATCCTTAATATAATGCGTTTTTGATTTATTTCGGCTACATTGATGATGTTCTCATTTTATTTATATTGAAGTCGGTTGTACATAATTTTAATTTTGCCACTTGTTATTTTCTTTAGAAAGATTAGAATCCTTCTTTAGAAGGATTAGACTATTTTAGTTAGAATAATCTTCATTCCCACATTTTTGCAGCGTTTTTCAACTAGAGCTATAAAGTAAGGCGTCAGCGGAGTGCGTTCGGAAGGGCGGAGAGTTTTGCGTGCATGCCAAAAACTAGGGATGGGCAAAGGAAAGTATATATATATCGAGTCGATATTTTAAACAGTATTGATATACCTACATCGCGTAATAAATATCGATATATCGTCACCATTTGCATCGTGTAAGGATAAGGCCCAAAATTTCATATTACTGACGTGACTGTTGGAAGACGAAAACATTCTAAAATATATCGAAATTGGTACGAATTATCGATATCTCGCGATTAAAAATATCGAAGATATATATTGATACTCCGATATATCGATATTTTCGTTTCTTTTTTTTTCTTTTTTAATAAATGGCTTTACGGCTCTGGGATCTAGCCCTTCTGAGCCTGAAGTTACAATATATTATAACAATTATCCTTCATAGTATACTGCTTCACAATATGTTGATGCATCACATTGTGCAGCCCTTGGGAGATTTTGACGGCAACTTGAGCCAGCAGACAGCTGACGGTTGGTGATGGAATATCAAGGCGTCTAAGCAGACACACCTTATTTTGATTATCACATCACCATCAGAGCACCTGTTTCACAGTTTCCCCTAATAGTTCATATGCGCATACACTTAATACACAAAATCGTACTACTTTTACATATCAAAGTCCACTTCAAACCATTATTTAAACAATAATGCAGGAGCAGCAAACCGCCCCCGGTCAAGTTCCCGCCAAAACTCCCCAACCTTTTCGTTTCTATAAATTATAGTGCACAGAGTACTCTATAAATATTTATTGTACCTTGCGTGGCGAGTGTAAGAAATATAGATGTAATATCTATATTTCTTACACTCATCACGTACTGCTACACAATTTTACTGTCCACTTTAATGCCCCACGCCCCACCGAACGCTCTCCACCAAAGCCTTACCATTGGACTTAGATCTTTTGTAACTTTTAGGAACATAAAAACCAGTTAAATTTTGCCTATAGATGTAAATTTTAATTATAAAAGGTTGTTAACGCTTACGAATGCAATCTTAACTGTTGAACTCTTTGCTATTTAAAATAAGCAAGGCGCTAGAAGGCACTCTAGTTTCTGTGATGTTAATGTTGTTAGCCTATGCGACTCTTACAGCTTCATCGGACTCATCGCTAGAAGAGCTATAAGAAGGTGGCGAGATATAAAAAGGCCGCAAGCTATAATAAAGGCCGCGAGCTATAAGCTAACTGCACTACACTGAACAACTCGACTACTGAACGTAGGCCTTTCCAAAGCAATGTCACAAAATTTTATGACTATATTTCCTACTGGCTGTGGTAATGATCATGATTAAGTATTTATATAGATAATATTAATTTTCTTCTTCCACAAATTAGTTATTTTAACTTGGACTCTACCGCAATCATAATCAGTGAAAAATAATTTAAACGCTGTTTTTGGTCATTGTGGCACGTTACTATTGTAGGTATATAATTTTTAATGGTACTAAGTTAAGCCCCGAGAAATTAATTGTGAGGTTATACGAAGCGTCGGTCTATAAGAGTTTTAAGAATTAGAAAAAGCTTACCGAAAATGACTTCTGTGAGTGGCGTGAAATATTAAAAAAAAAAAACATACTATTTAAATAACATATTAAGGGTAATTTCATTCATCCATCCATAACAGGGTTAGTCTTACACTTTCAACACTTATCATAAACGAAAAAACCTCTTCTCCCAGCTTTCTCATGTTATATAGATATTTTTAATTATCACTGTGAAGTGAAAACAATGTTGCCTTTTATATGGGGAATAATAGTCCTCATACAATTCTCTTAATACGGTACGGTAATATATATTTTTTTTGCAAAATTTACATGGTATCCATGGTCTTTATTCCTTGATTGCTTACAGCCTAACATTTAGGTGTGATCGAGATTTTTAATCGATAAAATCCTTACAACAGTCAATGAACGCTTCTTCGACTTTAAGCATTTCAACTAATGGGTGTGTGAAATTGTATAGGAGGTATAAATTCAGAATATTCTAAAGACTGATTTAATTTTTTTTAAATAATTTAATTTAAAAAGAGAAGCTTACCTTTTGTACTGCGACGATAAGGAGTAAGCAAATCAATATGGTGAAGCACAAGTTGATTGTCAGTATTATCCTTGGAACTGAAAATGAAAAACATACTTGTACAAACATAATTTGTTCTGTGTCTGGGTGTAATTTATCTATAATATTTATGTATTTAGAAATATATAAGTATGTTTATCAGTTGTCTAGTACCCATAACACAAGCTCTGCTTAGCTTGGGACTAGATGGCGTTGTTTGATAGTTGTGGAATATTATTATAATTCAAAAAAAAAAATATATATATATATAAATTAAAAAAAATATTTGTATTAATGTACTTCTGTTGTAATTTTAATTTTTTATACAGTTATGTGCCTTTTAATAAAAAAAAACTAAAAAAGTAAATTTGAGAAAACAGGTACTGAAATATTCTCCACAATATTATGTATTAATACTTGTGTAAAAATAATTAGAACATACAATTTTGTAATTATGAGAAATAATATTTTTTGGCTTTTTCTAACAACACCAATACACATATTGTTTATTAAATGAAATTAAATTTATTGCAATGAACAACAAATGCATGAAATTCAATTACATCCAAGCAACTTTTAGTTCTAAAATCTAGAAGGGCTGGTAACTCTTTACCGCCGAGATAAGACAGTGACGCAGTGCAGTTCATTCATAATTTGATAGCGCTTGTAATGGGAATTATGACTATACTCTAACCGCAAATTATGAGCAATGTTATATCATGCATTAGGGAAGTCTTTAAATCTAAATGTTCTTTTTAAAAAAATCTGAAGTGACAAACGAGCTAAGTTCACCTGATGACTGCAGGTCATGATCACCAGCGACCAACAAACAAAAAAAGGTTATAGATACGTTGCCACAATCTGAGGACTAAGATGGTTGCCTTGTGGTCTGTAATGACTTTTTCTGCCACCAGGGCGGCGCCGCTTTACAATGAGGTAAAATATTTGACAGATTTCGTAGCGACGACGATAATTTCTTAGGAAAATATAAACTTTAATGTTTCTTTCGGTATTATTAGATATATTTTGTATTAATTAGATTAGAAACCAAACTATAAATATAACTAAAAGTAGAAACGTTTATAAGAAAGAGTTATAAAGTGCAAAAAATTAAAATCAAACCACTGACGCTTTGTGTTGTGCGTTAATATAATACTCTAGAGTCTAGACAATGATAAACTATTATTAAAAACTAATTTCTTAATTAACTGACATTGTGTAACAAAAAACTTTACCTCAGTCACAACTAGCGACATCTGGTGAGTGGAAGGATATTAGCCCTCATTGTACTGGCTCTCTATACCCTTCAACCAGAACGCATCAGTACAAGCACTGCTATTTGGACATAAATAGAGAAGAGGGTGGTGCAAAGACGGTTTTTAAGGCAGAATAGGAGTCCTAATTAGTGAACCTTTTACATAACAGAAACGCATCAGTAGCTCACTTTACTTAAAATTTGTTCAGATGTTCAGTCTGCATAAGCCACTTACAATCAGGTTGATTGTTAACTTATTTTCCTTTACGCTTTAAAAAGGTTTAAAAAAAACGGCAAGTGCTTAGAAACTTGTGGGAAATCAATTTTTGCTATATTTTTAATTCGTTAACATTTTTTTCGAAAAAAAAAAGACATTAATGCAATATTCATAAATGTACGCTATCAGGTAAGTATTACATAAAACCATTGTTAATATTAGTAATAAATAAAATAAAACAACACTCACTGTCTAACGCTGCCAGTTTCTTATCAAAGTCTTCAGCAAATATAAAGGTTCTAAATGAAACATCGTGCTTGTTCACTACCCATACAGTGATGATGGTGATGATGGAAAGAATGATGCCAAGAGTCGCAGTGATCAGCGTCCCTGTCCTCGTAGAGGCACAACAACAACACTTTTCCAATCGCTTCATTTTGTATAACTTATATACGCACTGTGGTTTCTATCAAGTTCGGTGATTTAATAAACTTCGGGATGTTTACCGCCTCATTTTTGTCTGTAACAAAACAAAAAAAAAATGTATGAAAATATAAAATTTGTGCAATCTTAAAATATGGGGTTACTTTTTAAAGAGTTTATATTTAAGTTCAAATATATAAATAATAATATAACGTTATTACAGTTTTTTGAAAATACGACTATGGGTATAAGGCTTCTATTAATTAAATTATATTTTTAATTTGAAACTATCCCAAATTGAATGTGATTTATGGCCAACAACTACGCATACGCGCGCTCCTGCGTGTGCGATACAGTTTACCACGTCAAACGTTTTTGCCGAACGAGCGACCCTTACGAATGTGTGCATGCGTAGTGAAAGAGTAGGCGTTAGATATGTATGAATGACAATCAGTTAAAATAATGCATTACCATGCATTCTGAATTTGAAAGATAAAGAGGACAAAATGTTAGAAATATTTTAAATTAATTTTTCTTCACCATTATCAGCAAATTTGGGCGTATATTGCAAAATAACCACATATAGGTTCTATTTGTAGGATTGAGTCACGTTTTTATTACGACTTTCAGTTATAAGTTTGTGTTATGGTAGGACTTAAAATAAAAACTTTATAGAAGATGCATTGAATGCATTAAAATTACGTTGTAATATGAATCACATTTTAGATATTAATAATAATGTTTTCCAGATCGAATTTCGACGAATTGAGACTAGGCATCTGCGTAAGACAAGACTCTCTATGCACTCGCTCTCATAGTTCGATGAGACAGCAATCCGTCATGAATGGAAAGAGGACTTGGACGGGACCAACGACTTGACGTGCTTGCCGAGGCATGGAGTGAAACACCGCTAATCTTCTGACTCCGGGCTGTTACTGAAAATTTCTTTACCGGAATAACCAATAATTTTGGCTCGACCCAGGATTCGAACTCGGGACCACATAATCGGTATTCACGCTTAAGACAATTAAACCGACGTAGCAGTTACTCTAAAATTAATTCTGGAGGATATTGTATATCTGGAGGACATATTATACGACGGTTTATTAGTAAAACCAGTTCTCAGTCCAAACCCATCTGTCAAGTTTGCCAAATTGATGAACCTGCTATCAAAAGTTTGAAAATTCATTACTAATAATTGACACATTGTGCAACATTAAAAATAATGTTACGTTATAAGTTGAACTTTGGAAATAAAGTATTATTACAATACAAAGTAACTGTTGGACTTTATAAATTCTAAATTTGAATGTGAAAATGTGAATGCGGAAGTGTAACAAATTAAAAAAATAACCATGTGCAAACACATACATTGTAATTGAAATTGAAAACTTGTAAGTTTAAAGGGAAATAAAATGATGAAATGGGCAGTAATGTTGGTGAGAAAATGAATACAAGATTCCATAAACACAGTAAAATATGCGTAGCGCGCGGCGCACGGCGCGCGGCGTGGGCGAGTGCGAGTGCGAGTCGAGTGACATTGAACTGCTTCCGTAGTGTTTACGCGGGGCTCCCGAGCATTATCTAGTTAAGAGATGGACGCGATTATTTGCTAACAAACTAGTTGTGAGTTTTGAATAATTAAGGCTGTTAAAACACACGGCGGCAATTAAAACATATGTATTTGTCTCTACAAAAATGTGTTTACATATCTTAATATTAGATAATGTTTCACTTTCTAAGTTGACATAAATAGGTGTCATCCTTGAGAAAGTTATAATTTTCTCTAACGCCAAGCAAAGCTTGGTCGTCTAGTTTATATGCCCTATACAAATATTATTTCCAATTCTAGATGATGATACGGATGCATTATTTTGACCTAGTTTGTTTGACTTCAGGTGTGTTTGTTTGACACAGAAGCCGTGGGTTCTTATATCACAAGGAACAAGTAATTTCTATGAGCTACCAATAGTATTTCTGGGTCTGGATCTTTGTCCATGTGTAATTCATTTATGTAAAACGCCTATAAGATATAGGAAATGGCCTATTATGGAGGTAATGATTAAAAAACAATAAATAATTAACTGTGAAAGCATAAACATTTCATGTTATCATATTTACCATTGTAAAAATATTAGAAAAACTTAAAAATGTACGCGAGAGAAATACTGGGTTTCCGCTAAAATATGGACTAAACTGGGTATATTAAATTGAATGATTTTATATTGAATGTCAAAATTATCAATAGATTTTCGCGTTTTGAATATGTTCTTATTTCGTGATGTTCAACACGTTTAATTGTTCACAACGATTCTGTTTAAAATGTGAAATGATATGAAAGAGCACCTCTATTTTAATAATATATAATGGTATACATTCCGTAAATATTCATACTAGCTCACGTTTAGCGAGTAACAAGTGAAATACCCGGAAAACTAGTTACTTTTACTTAACCACAGAAATTCATGCAATGAATACGATTTTACAACAAAATCCAAGAAACTGGACAAAGTCTGTGTACCTACGAAAAATTTTTATTGAGCAATTATCATCTAATAATAATGTAATTAAATAAATAAATGCATAATTGTATACCGTGTAGTGACGGTGTAAGAATATCCATTACCCCATATCGTCCCGTGGGTGTCGCAAGAGGCGAAGGGAAACAGATTAGGAGCATGATCAGCAGTGTCTTCCTAATAACTACTAAAAATAATAAAAACCGCGGTTTGCCAATTCGCTTGCCAAGCGTGGCAACTGTGGCAAATATCCCCCTATGATGCAATCTAGGGAAAGGCCTGTGTTCAGCAGTGGACTTCAATAGTCTGTAACGGTATGCATAGTTGTAATCTATTCCTTTGGAAATATTTTAGGTGTTTTCTTTGGTCTTTTTTATATAATATGAGTGATAAACGAGCACACAGTCCATTTGATGGTAAGTGGATGAAGTGGCGCATAAACATCAAACTTGATCATCAAACATCTACATCTATCCTCGATCAATAATCAAAATGCCAGATGCGTTGTCACCGCTGAGGACTAAGATGAAATGCCTCGTCTCTAGTAAAAAGGGTCTCTGATTCTCTACACTCACCATACGAAACACAGTAAGCATTGAGGTGCTATTTTACGGTGGTATTCTGTGAGAGCGTGGTCCATCCCCGGTGGAGCCGATCCATTCGTGCTACAACCATAATATAGCTGCAGCTTGACTCTACCACGTATGTAGCAAGGCCCTACCAAGTAATTAATTTGCATTGAATTAAAAAAATACTTTTCATAAGCGTTATTTAAGAATCTCTATAGAATAAATAATTATATTGTAAAATAATTGTGAATAAATTTTCAAATTTTAATTATAATTTTGTTAATGATATTAAGTTCATATTTAAAATTGTACTTGTTAAATGTTACATTGGTTTTCAGTTTTCATTGTTTGTTATTTTTAAACCCATGTATTTCAGTTTCCATTTCGCCACATTAATTGGGTCAAACTGTAATGTGAATATTTTCTTTCAAAACAACTGATTCATGGCTATTCTGGTGACTATTTATATTAATGTGGTTTGGTTTTAAAATACAATAAGAGACAAAAATATTTGAGTACACTCATTAGATTCGGTTTAGAGTGGGTAGTTATACTTCTAATATAATGTGATAGAAATTTTCTGAAAGTGCATTATATCTATCGGAAAAATCGTTTTTAACAGTGAGTTTTACTAGCAATAATAGCAGACATATACTCGTATGCTTATTTAAAATTTCTTGAAATTACAATATTATGTTAAACTAACTGTTCCCCGTGACTTCGCCCACGTGTAATTTAAGACTTTAATTTTTTTTTGCGTGGATCCTAATTATTTTTCTACAATTAAAGTAGCCTAAGTTACTCTTTATAATATCAGCTATCTGACAGTGAAAGTCCCATCAAAATCGGTCCAGCCATTTCGAGATTAGCCGGAATAAACAGACACAGAGACAGTTAGACAAAAATTTTAAAAATTGTGTTTTTGTTATATGTGCCGTATATACTTTCATATGCATTTAGTAAAACGCTGTTATTTTGATATTAGAAACAGACACTTCAATTTTATTTATTTGTATAGAATATGTATAGATTACTACACGACATTGACATAGGATCAAAATATGGCGTTGTTGCAACTACGTACTTTACAAGATATGCATGGAAAGCAGTTCACATAAAGGAGTGAATTGTTTGAGCAAATTGTGACTTAAAATGGCGTGTTGATAAGATTAAAATTAAGTTAATACTATATATGGCAATAGTACTTAACGAAATAACAGTGTAGAAATATTATGTCGGCCCATATTTACTGCAATATGGTTCGATGGTATTGTCTTTCTGTACGTCCTAATCTTGAGAATGGCTGAACCGTTTAGGATAAAACTTTATCAACAGAAAGCAATGCTAGGAGGTATCTAGCTTAAACAATTTCACGTTTTTTCAAAAAAAGTATAATTTTTTCCACGTGGTAGAGCCATGCTGCAGCTATATTAGAAGTATAGTTGTAGCACAAATGGTTCGGCTCGATCGGGGAAGAATCACGCTCTCATAGAATACCAGCGTAAAATAGCAGCTTAACACTGCTGTGTTTCGTATGGTGAGTGTAGAGAACCGGCGACCCTTTTTACTGAAAAAGAGGCATTCCATCTTAGTCCTCACGGGTGATAACGCATCTGCATTTTGATTCTTTACTGATGATATATGTGTGTGTCACAGCAAACACTTACTATCAGGCGAACTGTGTGTTGTTTGTCACTCTATATTATAAAAAAAACTTTTATCTCAGGATAGAAAATAATGGTAACAATAAACAGAGCGGACAGGCTTTTCGAGTTTCCGTGAACTCTAATGAGACCCAGTTAGAAATGGTGTGGTGTTAAGTGACGACCTGGTGACCTAGTGGTCAGAGTATCTGTCTGGTATATCGTAGCGTCTAGTTTCGAATATCATTCGGAATCTCATTTGTTAGGACGAATACCTGTTAC